GGGCCCGCTCGCCTGGGTGCGCGCGAGGGCGCAGAGCGCAGGGCGAGCGGGCCCCGCGGTCAGTAAGCACACCCCACCTCCACGTCCGCCCGGGGCTACTTTTTACCCGCCCGTGAGTGCTCACGTGGTGACCGTGGCTTCGTGGCTATGCCATAGTGATTTAGCTTTCCCAGGAGTCCAAGTTTTGCTTTTCCCTTAAACCTTCATGCGTATCCCCATGTGACAATCACACGTTCCCAACACAATCATCATTAGCAAACAGCTTCCCCTGCAATGACCCAAACTGCTTCTAATGAAGACTGCAAAAAAGTGAATTCTATCTGTCAACTTCAGTAGTTTAGTTTTAAAAAACCTCTAAAAATGACGTTTAGGGGCTATGTCAGTCTAACATTCCAATGAGCAGGAAGGCTTAAAATTACCGACAGATTGGAAGAATTGAATCATGAGCTGTCCAATGGAGCGGACTTAGATTTTCTATTACGTTCACTATGTGCTTTATAGGGTAGGGAAAAACATTTAATACTTAGGACTAATATTTGGATTTCAATGAGGTAGGCGTGACCTGATAAATACGATTCTCTCTCCTGACTCTAGTAAACCGGAATGGAAAAAAAAAAAAAAAGAAAAAAATAAAGAGCAATTTCACAACGTGCTTCCAAGGGCCAAGGTCAAGTTTTCTACACTACTTGCTGAATTTCTTTCTCCTGGCCATGCTCTCTGTGGATTTTCCCGGCACCTACTACCACATTTCGAGTCACATCAGTGACTGGAAGCAGCCTGAAGGGAAAGATAACTGCATGAAAGAACACAGAATTCTCAAACTCTCAGGTTTGTGCGTCCTGTGGCCTGTTTTCATGACCAGGCAGAACAGCGGTAGTGGCTGACAAGAGTACACCCTGCAGCCTTAAAAAAAACTCAGACAAAAACAGCAAAGCTGTCCCATCACGACATGGACTTGGGCTCTGGGAGAAGACATAGTGACGTCAGGACTAGGGTATCTCTAACAGCACTGATCTTCAGGAAGTTCTTCTACTAAAGAAGTAAGCGAAGATGTTTCAACAGTAATGCGTACAGATTTTTAAATCATCTTTAAAGGAAATGAAAGTTAAATTAGGGATCTGAGCATTTTTGAGGTTGAGGTCATTTCTTTCATGGCAAATTTTATGTTGTAGTATTCCCCAAAAGCAGCTACCTGGAAAGTATAAAATGTAGTAACTTCTCTGTTATTCGTAACTCACAATGTCACTGGGAGTAAGTGATGACCATGGTCTATCTTAACCTTGTTCCATTTCATTATTTAGGTTCACTGTGCACTTCACATGACCACAAGCACACCTCCAATGCATGGTAGTCAATATGTTGTGATCACATAGAGGTTTCCGGTGCACAGGGTGTATCCCTTTAAATATACTGAACAATAATGCTGGTGATTTCATATCACTGTGTAAACAAAGGCTGATTATTTCATTGCACTTTAAAAGCTAAACTTTAATGGCCCTCAAATCGCGCTGTGACAAATTCCAAGTCAACTTTCTCTATTCATTCTGAAATATTTATACCATGTAAACAGCCAAAAATAGAGTGACAGTGAGTGGAACTGTCAGTCTGGGCCTGGTACTGTGAGTGCCATATTGTGAGTAGATGTGAGGTCTTGACCTGATGTCTGCGAACTTCTGAAGGGTTGAGTGGGCCGGAGCTTTCTCAAGAGGATAAACCTAAAAGGCCAAGATAGTTATATAGAACATGTCCGGGTTAAGAAGCTTCCTACTCAATATTAGCTATCTCCAAACACTGCCACCTTAACAGGAAAGGGTGCTAAATTATTAGGAAATTTCTACTCTGATACTTCTTTTGCCTACATAGATACAATTTAAACTCTAGGGTAAAAGGTATGCAGCCCAACTTCTGCATACTAAAACAATCTACCTTATTTTTAATACTTTGCTTAGTTTAAAGGTGCTATAATCATCTTTTAAACTCTTCTACATAATGACAAGTTCATTTTGCTAAAACAGTTTGTAAAGATGTTGCCAGATGTAAGGACTTACGTTTTTTAAACATGAGCATACCATCTTCCTTAAGTGTTTAACGTTGATGGAAAACTCATAGCTAGTTTCCTTAAACTGGCATCTCCAAAAGTAAGACCAGTATTTATAATTTCCAACCATTTGAAAATCCAGGCTGTTTAAAGCAACAGCGACAATCAGAAAGTTTAAATCTCTGCTTAACTCTCAGGCAGGAGGTTGGAGAACAGCAACACGGTCACACGTCCCTCCTGTTTTGTTAAATTACAATAGATAAAAGAATTCCTTTACGGCATTGCTAGAAACTAAGTTACAGTCAAACTATAAGGAGTTCATCTGAAATTTAAAATACGTTTCATGTAGTCAATGAACCTAGGGGAAAACAAGTGTATTTATGAAACAGGTGGGTTCCAACTTTTTCCTGTTGCTCAAATAAAGTTGTAATTAGTTCCTCTTGATCCCTAAGATACAGATGCATATTTCACAAGTGTAAAAATTATTTTTACTAGTTTTGTTTTAAATGGTGTTCATCTGGGGGCTGGTTTTTTAGAGCTAGCCCTCTTAATTGCACGAGCTTGTGATGGAAGGAATCTAATTCATAAAGAGTTTCAAATTTGGACTGTTCTGTGCCAAGCTTAGATTTATAGGCTATAAATTTGCTATGGGCAAAGTAGTTAACAAAACAATGGGTCTGTTTTAATCGTTTTATGACAAGTGAAAAAACAAAGTGCAGCATATCAAAATGTGCACCAAAGATTTTGGATACCTAGGCTTGCATTTCATGAGAATAGTACTAATTTAGTCTTAATAGTTAGGGGGTTGCTATTTCAGCAACAATGCACACACAAACCACTAACAAGATTAAGTGATAGTCCTCACGTGGAATTCCCACTTTCTTCCTCCTCCTAATGTCACCATGAAAGACATGGAATCAGACTATCCCTAAATCTGATTGCGTGGGAGTGGACAGACGTGGTGGTGTGCAGGAAGCAAGCAAAAACAGGCTCACTCTTTAGTAAGAACAGGGAAAGTGATACCCCTTTCTGGCTAAAAATCTCTTTATGAAATAAGTCCTAGCAATGCACTTCCATTTAATGAGTAAGGAGATTCTAATGAAGTGACACGAGAAAAAAAAAAAAAGCTGGTTAGCCGAGAGTGCACATTCAAAAGTGATTTTTAAATTTTCTTTCCTAATTATAGCACATTAGTGGGGTTTTTGGTAGAAAAAGAAAACCACAGTACTAGGACACTGCCAAATTTAAGATTTTTAAGAAAAAATTTAAAACAGAAGACAGATTATTTATAAAGACATTCTGAGGACTTACTTGTACACACAGCCGGCTTTTACTGTTGTGCTATGTATGTTTGGGTCACTAGGTATAATGAATACTCTGAATCAAGAGATTTAATTAGTAATGAAAAAGTTACTTTTCACTTTACTTTTAACAGTATTTTTAACCTTCCAAAACTGAGCTACCCACGATCATAAAATCTTATAAAGTGCTTGCATTAAAAAAAAATTTTTTTTTGCATTCCTCTCTTCACTACGGAATTCTGTTAGAAGCTGGAGCTTCCAAGAACGTCACAAACATTTATAGAGCCGTCAAAGAAGGCACGTGATGCCCATTCAGACCATTTAAGGGCCCCGATTAACTAATATTAAACTCGGCATTCAAAACAGCCTACAGAAAAGCACTAAAGTGTTCTTCCTTTTAATCGATGAGAACCATGGCCTTTATTTACACTGTAGGACGCAAAGATGTCCTTTCCGGAAAATCCTGCCGTTCTGCTGTTTTGCACTTGAAACGCGGCCCAAGTGTTCTGAGTAAGTAAAGTGTACAAATAGTGTAAGCTTCTGTATAAGCAGTGGGATAACTGGGGCTGCAGTGGGCTGGAGAAACATCCCTTTAAGATCCTCCAGCTCTGAGCAGCTTAATTCCAAAAGGTGACACCGCTCCCTACAATCCTTTTCACTTAAATGTGATTATGTTTATTATCAGAAAATGAACCTTGCCGAAGAAGTCATTCATTTTCCTCAGCTTCGTATACAAAGAAATTCATCAGGTTATGACACCTGTTTCATTAATGTATAGGCTTCTAGTTAGAAAACGGAACTATTACAAACACAATTTCTTTTACACATTTTGTTAACTATTAAAATAAGATGATTTTTATTCATAGCCAGGGTTGCTGTTTGCGTCATACACCTGAATGCATATGAGTGATTCAGTACTACTATTTTCAGGAGCAAAGTAATGTAGCTGCTAACTTAGCAGCTATAGGAAAAACATACTTTTCAACTGTTTTTGTTTTTTGTTTTTAAAAAATACAATTGCCCGTTTCTAAAATGTTGTCCCAGTAATTTGTCCGAAAATTCCAGATCAGTGAAGGCTGCTATTCTTTTAACTGAAAAAGCAGTACTTTGAGAAACCACTGAAAACTGGGCGGAGAAAACCGACTCTCCGAATCCCACCTGCCTCAGGTGGTCTCTCCATGCCCATACCAAGGATGTTTCCAAGTGCACACTAAAGAAGGTTCAGTTCCCCAACATCCCAGTTATGGGGTTCTGGCTTCTATCTTTAGGCTACTAGAGGACCAGAAGCGAAATCCGAGACTCCGCGTGAAACCAACCCGGGGAGCCGTCAGCACGGACCGCAGCCTCACCAGCCCGGGCGTTCGCTCTCGCTCCGCCGCAGAGGCGCTTTCAAACCCGGCCGGGAGAGGGAGGGATCAGGAACGTAATGTGACGGGCTCAAGTGACAGCGAGCCCGCTCCAGCCCGGCCTCCGGGCGCGGCGCCCTCCGGGTGGCAGCGGCGCGCCGGCCAGGTGTATTCGCGCCCC